AAAAAAAAAAAAAAAAAAAAAAAAAAAAAAATAAAGAAATAAAGAAAAGAAAATCCAACCGCTCGCAGCGAACAATTTCGAATCCCAATTCTTCGAGAGAGATGAGGGCTCGTGTTAGTTCTTCTCCCCCTCTGCCGCGAAACAGAAAGAATTCGAGCGAGTAGGTGTTTCCGGGTTTATTCGAGGAATTCCGCGAACGAGGGTTGAACGGGTCGAAGGGCACGGCCTCGTGACCGAAAGGGGAACACGGGGGGGGCTGCATTTTTCGAAGTGCTCGCGTGCCCGCGGTATCCCCAGCCCCTTTTCGACCTGGGTACTTCGCATTCTGCTACATCATCGCCGGATTTGATTATGCAAAGCGACTGCCCTCCTCCCTCCTCTCATCACTCTTTCTTTCTCTCATCTTTCGACATCAGATATCTTCCTTCATCTCCCCGAACACGTAGGCGTCCCATCAAGTCGTCGTCTGACTTTCGCCTTGAACCGTGGAATCCTGTTCGTGAAACATCACCCGTTCGTTGGGATTTTTATCGTTTGTGAAAACTGAAAACGCCTACGATTATTCCCTCTCCTTTCATGTATTGTTTGTGTCGTCTCTTTTTCGCTAATTCTCTCCAATTCATGAAGTTTTTCCTTTTCTCCTTGTTTAACGTCTTGCGATGACGTGCCACGCACGTCGAGAATCTTTTGTTCCAAAATTGTAATATTTTCTCAGTTTTAAGTAGAACAAAATAGGCCAAATATGATTCTATTGAAATCCTATTCAAACTTAGAAGAATGCCACACCACAGAAACCCAAAGACAGAAATACGGAAACAACGCAAACATAAACCTGACTTCTCAAAATGACATACAAAAAGTATTGAAATATTTCAGAAACATAAATTACTACACACATATCTAATGGCACCGTCGTCGATGCGACGTTAAAGAAAAATGGAAGAAGAAGAAGAAGAAGAAAATAAGCAAAATATTACCTCTCAATAATTTCTGTCCAGTGACATCATACCGACAAATATACCGTGTACTGTTTGGTCACTCGTTATGGTCCGCCAATCAGCTTGCCAGCGCAAGTGGTTAAAGCTGATTGATGGTGGCTGACGATTTAAATCGACACGATTTAGCAACGAAAGCCAAAGATTCGATCCACGTTCTAAAGCTCCAAGTTTCCATTTTGTGCTTCGAGTTTGTTCTTTCTTCGAAAAACGTAATTTTTTTGAAGAGAGGATCGTCTTATGACACGACATTATTAAAATTAAATTTCACAGGAATTCGAGGAATCTTAATATCACCGAACATTCAAAATCTCGATAAAATGGTTAGTAAAAGAATAGGCTCATCGAGTTTTGAGAGATCATATCATATCGAAAAGTAAATTTCAATCTTCAACATCAGTCATGGTAAAAAGAATCTTCCAATGTCTTTACACGCGTTTGAATTTTTATAATTTTGAAGAAGGGTGGAAAAGTATCCTCAAAATGATCATAGAAAAAAAAAAAACTGTTTAAGCAGAAGCTTCAAGCTTTAAATGGATTGCTACGCAATTTCTTTCTGTCGAGTTATATCTTTTTTATTTATTAAGTTTCTCAAGTTCATAAATTTATTATTTTTATTTATTAAATCTATCAAGTTTGTCCATGTCAAATTTATTATTTTTATTTATTAAATTTATCAAGTTTATCCATTATTATTTTTATTTATTAAATTTCTCAAGTTCATAAATTTATTTATTAAATCTATCAAGTTTATCTATGTCAAATTTATTATTTTTATTTATTAAATTTATCAAGTTTATCCATTATTATTTTTATTTATTAAATTTCTCAAGTTTATAAATTTATTATTTTTATTTATTAAATCTATCAAGTTTATCCATTATTATTTTTATTTATTAAATTTCTCAAGTTCATGAATATTTATTATTTTTATTTATCAAAATTTTATATTTATTATTTTTATTTATCAAATCTATCAAGTTTGTCCATGTCAAATTTATTATTTTTATTTATTAAATTTATCAAGTTTATCCATTATTATTCTTATTTATTAAATTTCTCAAGTTCATAAATTTATTATTCTTATTTATTAAATTTATCAAGTTTATTATTCAATTTATCCATTAT